GATTATCTTCTGTGTCTGTGTTAATTGGTTTCCCTTTTCTTTGTTGAAGAGGGTCTGTGCAATCCTTCTGCCTAGTCCGCCATCTTGCCCCGCCTCCTAACAAATAATTTTTAAGAACTTGTTAATAATTAGTAGCTTATATTCATATATTTTGTAAATAACTTTTTTTCATATAGTAAACTACAAATAAATGTACTACATGACTCACAAGCCTACTTACCTAGACTTTAAAATATACGATTAATATAAAATAAAATATTATGTATTATTTTTTAGTATATTTTACTAATAGGGTACTCACAAAATTGGAAAATCCAACCAATACAGAAAGGTAAACTGAAAAATAAAAAGCTTCTTCTCCTAATTAGCAGGTTATTTCATATTCTTCCAGAATTAACACATATTGTTAAAAAAAAAAAAAAATTAAGGACCCCTTGTGGCACAGTGGTTAAAGAGTGCAGCTGCTAAATGAAAGATTAGCTGTTCGAACCCACCAGCTGCTCCATGGGAGAAAGATGTGGCCATCTGCTTCTATAAAAAGCATTGGAAACCCTATGGAACAGTTTTACTCTGTCCTACAGCATTAGGACAGAGTAGACATTACTCTGAGACAGATTTGACTAGATGGCAATGAATTTCAGTTTTTGGTTAAAAATTTACTGTTCATGTTATTTAATGGCAGATGGTTATACAAACAAAAGTCCTCATTTGTTAGAGACAGACAGTAAAGTACTGATAGGTGAAATGATATGATGTCTTGAATTTGCTTTAAAAAAAAAAGTACAGCGGAGAAGACCAGATGAATCAAGATTGGGCTAATCCTTTAACTGTTGAAGCTGAAAGATGGAAACATGGAGCTTCACTCTTTTAGTCTCTCTACTTTTGGGTATCTTTAAAAATTAACATAATACAAATATTTTAAAAAGAAGAAACATCATATTGTCTTTAAGTCTTAGCTTGGTCTTAAGGATACTATGAGTAACATGAGACAGAAAGAAAGAGAGACACAGACTGAGTGAGGTGTTGTGAGATATAGACCACTAAGCTCTTAATCACGCTGTGGGGACAAACTGTCTGCACATAAAAGCAATGGGGTTGGAGCATCCTGCTTGGTCTGGAGGCCATTCTGAGTAGGACGTGTTTGACAGACGAGGGCATATTTAGTGTCACAGGGGAAAGAGTCAAATGCCTCCAAAGTGTTGTCCAGCACCGCAGGCATGAGAAAGAAGGAGCTGAGTTTTCCATCTGGTTGAGAAGGCTCGTTCGGAGTCCAAAGGCAAGATTCCTCTTGTTGCAAGCTGCTTCACAACACTGTGGGTAACCTTGAAAGGATGGTTCAGACAGAATGAGGGTGGTCACCAGTAGAGAGACTCTGAAAGGGATTCTTCTTATGATCGTTGATCTGGAGGTTGAATAAAGAGACGTACAAGATCTCTTCCAACTTGGAGAGTGTATGTGATTCTCTGATTTCTCTAACTTAATCCTTTTTGTTGAAAAGGGAAGCATATGCCATTTGCCTTGTGTGCCTCTCTTGCTTCTTTTTAGGGAAGTCCTTAGCTTCTCTTAGCTTCATCATTAACTAATATTTATTAAGCACCATATTAGGTAGTACTGTGATATGAACTGTTCACAGGGAAAATTGTTCTGTGTCTCTAAGGTGAACTACAAATAATCCAGGTATGTTCTGGACATAAAAAGTGCTTAATTAAATAATTGTTGAATGAAGTATCACTAAATAAACAATAATAATTAAGCAGCATTTAGCAGCAAGAAGATTATTTACAAATGGTCCACACTTAAAGCCAATGAGCCATCACTCTTCCCATCTGATTAGAGAACATCTGCAGGAAGAACTGGGGCTTCAGGGAAGCAGAAAGCAATCATTTGACAAAGATAAATAAATTCTTTGGGTTGGGATTTGGAAAGAGGAATAAAAATTCATCCTTGAGTTCTACATGGGATGCACAGAGAAGACACTGGTTACTAAAGTAATTTCAGATGCCCTGAATAAAGCTGCTGGCTAAAAATAAATCATTACTAACTGTTAACCTGGTCATTACTAATCCTGAGATACTGTGTTAGGGAAGTAGAAAGTAGCTATGGTAGAAAATATTCTTATACTTCAGTATTTAGAGTGATTTTGTTTTTCAGCTTCAATAATACAGACAGGTCATCTGGCCAAATTACAGAAGCTTGACTTGAGCTATAATGATAGCATCTGTAATACAGGATGGACCATCTTCTGCCAGAATGTGCAGTTCCTCAAAGAGTTAACTGAGCTGGATATCAGCCTTCGGCCATCAAATTTTCGGGATTGTGGACAATGGTTTGGACACTTGCTAAGTGCTATGACCAAACTTCCTGAAATCACTGAGATAGGAATGAAAAGATGGATTCTCTCAGCTTCACAGGAAGAAGAACTGGAATGCTTCAACCAGGATCACAAAAGCAGCATTCACTTTGACCATGGTGGATTTCAGTAAGCTGATTTTCTCAAGTGTTATTTACTGTAAACCATTCTCCAAATGAGGAAAAGAACATGAATGAATCCCACTATAACCAACTATCATCTTATGGACTATTTAATGGGACTTAAATTACAAGATATTTGTAAATATATCTATACAATGATCTAATGTGAGCATGTCTTTATTCTCTATCTTATGGACCAAGGATGATATTTTTGAATGACCTTTTACCTGTTTTGAATGCATACTTAGTTCACTTAATGGTTAGAAGCCTTGTAAAAAATATTTAGATTCTGGTATATATGTTAATTTTTTTTGCCCAAGAATTTTCTGCCTGATTTTTCCTACATGTTAAAGGTTCTAAATATATAGGGGTGTGTGTGAGATTTTCCTAACGTGAAAGGCACTAGATGAATGATACATTCATGTTATCTTTACTATTGTTATACGTACCAAAATGTGCTCTGCCTACATTTTAGTCAGAGAGTGTACTCTTCAGTGGTTTACTGATGAGTAATTTTAAGTTTCAGTGACTACTTCAGATATAAAACACAAACATTAATAATAACTGCTGACATATACATCTTAGTAAAATGTGGTCATAACTTCAAAAACTAGTGCCCAAACTACATATTGTTAATACAAAATAAAACCATTTGTTATTAAAACAAACAGATTGTTGATATTACCTATGAGGTTTGTTGTTTTTTTTTTTTTTTTGGCATGGAATTTTCTACATTAAACTATCTCATTTATTAATTAAAGTTTTTGTGTTGCCATTAAGTGATTTTTGACACTTTTTAGTTTCTTTCATAAGAGTATGAATATTAGTGTATGGTAGATATATTTTCCATACATTTCTATTCTGATACACTCTAACCAAACTCTGTTTTGTTTTCTTCTTGTGGTATTAATAATTTATATTGCAATCATTGCTTGAAAGATGTAAATTTTACAGTCAACACTACTCCAAGAGAAAAAGTCATCAGGGTAAGAAGGTTTTGGATGGCACAGAGAGGATACTTTAGGTCATGTGATTGTTCTTCATTTCTCTGGGCATGCCCATGAATCCATGAACCCATGTGTCCATGCAAAAATGTGTACACAAATGTCCATAGCAGTTTTATTCACAATAGCCTAAAACCACAAGCAGCCCAGTGTCCTTCAGTGGGTAAATGGTTAAACACACTGTGACACAAAGGAATGTTGTTACTGTTAGTTGCTGGCAAGTTGATTCTGCCTCATGGCTATCCCAAGGAATACTATTCAGGAATAACAAGGAGTGGACTATCGATACACACAACAACCTGGATGGACCTCAAAGGAATTGTACTGAGTGAAAAAAAGTCACACCTAAAAGGTTACATACTGTGTGATTCCATTTATATGACATCCTTGAAATAACAAAATGATAAGATGTGGAGATAGTGATTGCCAGGACTTTGGGGATTAGGAGTTACGTGTAACTAATTTGCAGTAATCGAGCAGGTCTTTATCTTGATTGTAGCTTAGGTTACATGAAGATACATGTGATAAAATGTATAGAATTACAAACCAAAAAAAACCACAAATGAATGCACATATAACTGACGAAATCTGAATAAGCTGAGTGGGTTGTACCAGTTTCCTGGTGTAACTGTACTATCGTCATGCAAGATGTTAACACAGGGCAGGCAGGGTAAAGGGTGTATGTATGGTACCTCCCTGTACATTTCTTTGGAAATTCCTGTATTTCTAAAATTATTTCAAAATAAAAATTTTAGAAAAAGTAGATAATACTACAATGAGCCCCCATGTGCCCGTCACCTGTTTATATAATTATCATCTGATGCTGAATCTTTTGTCATTTGCACCCCAACTCACTGACCTTACCGATACTATTTTGAAACAATTTCCAGGCGTTTTATCATCTTACCCAGACATATTTCAGTAAAGATAAAGATCTATTACACATAATCATAATTCATGATTTAATTTTAGAGTGGTAGTCATCTAATTCCTAGATGTTTGGCCTTCTTCTTAAATCCATTAGGATTTATTATCCTAATTCATCAATTTATAGAATTATTTCTTGTTTCCCTTTGGAGGTTTTCCTTTTTCATCCTTCTTTCCTTTCTTATCTTTTGGAGAGATCTTTCCTTTTTTCCGTGGTCTTTGTAGTTCTTCATATATCCCCAGTCCTTTCCTTACCATCATTCCACGCCACCATGCCTGGATCTGAAAACAAGACAAGCTCAAATTCAGCATTAGCTGGTATCATGATGACCTGAAGATAGTTAAATCTCTTTGATTTGGTATGTGGACTTGAGAATGTGGAGCATAGGATATGATTAGGGAGAATGGGATATGCTTAGATCTCCAAATCTTATTTTCTGTCTTTCTCAATCAGCCAGTCACTCAGGCAAATTTAAAAAATAAATGCATTCAGAGCATTTACGTGACCATTATAGGCATGGTGAAAATAGCAGTAAGAAACCAGTGTGCTGCCTCCATGAAACTTGCATTCCAGTAGAGGAAGAGAAAAGAAATAAACACTTGAATGTATAATTTGTCAGATGTGATAAGTGCTATGGAGAATGACAGAGCAGAGTATGGGAATCGGAAGTGACTGTACCCTGTCTTCTCTCTTGTTACTGCACTGTCTGTGCTCCTCCCTAAAGCCAGACCTTGTTGCTTCCTAGATCCTATTTCTTCTCTTCTACTCAGGAAAACCTCTCCCACAATAGCTCCCCCTCCCCTACACCATAATCCCCCACTCCCTGCTGTGCATAATCACCCCTACCTCATACAACATGCTATTATTTCTCCCATCTTCGATAACACAGACCTAGATACACACATTTCTCTCTTCAGTCACTGAGCTATGTTTTTCCTGTACAGCAAAGTGTCTCAAAGTCATTGTCCAGACTTGCAGTCTCCAATTCTCCACAATTATCTATTGGAGTCATTAGGTGATAAAAATGGTTAAATGCCCAATTACTAACTGAAAATGTATCTCAGAAGAAAGGCCTGACAATCTTCTTCTGGAAAGATTAGAGCCAAGAAAACGCAATGGAACCAGCTCTACTATGCACACCTTGGGTAGCTATGAGCTGGAATCAACTTGAAGGCAGCTGGTTTGGTTTTTAGAATCATCTATTAAATATTGTGGTGCTGGCGAAGAATGCTGAAAGTACCATGGACTGCTAAAAGAACTAACAGATCTGTCCTGGAGGAAGTGCAGCCAGAATGCTCCTTGGAAGCAAGAATGGCCAGACTTCGTCTCACCTATTTTGGTCATGTTGTAAGAAGGGACCATTCCATGGAGAAGGATGTCATGCTTGGTAGGGTGGAGGGTCGACGAAAGAGGGGGAGGCCTTCAACGAGATGGATTGACATGGTGGCTGTGATGATGGGCTCATGTATAGCAGGGACTGTGGGGCTGGCGCGGGATCAGGCAGTGTTTCGTTCTGCTGTGCATGGGGTTGCTATGAGATGGAAACGACTCCACGGCACTTAACAACAACAACAATTAAATACACCGACTACTCTACCATAACGTCTTATCCAGGTCACTGATGACCTCCATGTTGCTAAAATCTAATGATCAGTTCTCAGGCCTCACTTTTTTGACTTGTTTCACATAGTTACTTGCCCATTCTCTCTCCCTTGCAACACTTCACATGGCTTCCACAACACCCCACTTTCTTGATTTCCCTTCTACTTCACTGGTAATTCCTTCTCAGTCTCTTTGCTAGTCTTCTTTTCCTTATTTTTGATGTTGGCATGGACCAGGACTCTAAGTCACTGCTCCTCCTCTCTGTGATTACTCCTTTGGTGATCTTAAAGTCTTGTGGCTAAATACCATCTATAGAGAAAAGACACCAATCTCCTATCTCCATTCTTGCCATCTCTCCTGAGCTCCATCTGAGATATCTAACGATTGAATGAGGTGGGGTGAGGGTATGATGTTTTACATTAGGTGGATCAAGAAAGGGTTCATTGATAAAAGGATATTTGAGCAGAGATTGAATGAAGTGAGAGCCAGAGTCTGGCCCATATTTGGAGAAAGAGTTGTGTGGACAAGGGGGTGAACTAGTGTTAAGGCCTGAGAAGGAAGCATGCTTGGTTGTCTAGAAGAACACTGAGGATCCATTGTGATTGAACCAAAGTGAGAAAGGAAAAAATGAGGGAGCAGGGGAAAGAAGATTGCCCAGGGGAACAATATTGCCTTCTAGAGGCATTTTTGGAAATTAATGGAGCTTTTTGTAGTCATAATATTTAACCTGGAGGGGCTGTGGTGGTTGAGTGGTAGAATTCTTGCCTTCCATGCAGAAGATCTCAGTTCAATTCCAAGCCAATGTTCCTCATGAACACTCACCACTCATCTGTTAGTGGAACCTTGCATATTTCTATGACAATGAACAGGTTTCAGTCTACACTAAGAAGAACTAGGAAGAAAGGCCTACTTCCAGAAATCAGTCCATGAAAACCATATTGATCCCAAGAAGCCTGTTCCCAATGAATCATTGGGATGGAATTTTATTTATTTATTTATTTATTGCATAGGGTCACCATGAGTTGGAGGTGACTCAAAGGCAGCTAACAACAACATTTAATCAATTTTTGTCGAGTTGATTCTGACTCATGCTGATCCCATGTGAGTCACAGTGGAACTGTATCCATAGGGTTTTCAAGGGCTGACTTTTTGGATGAAGATCTCCAGGTCTTTCTTCCAAGGCACCTCTGAGTATATTTGAACCTCCAACCTTTTGGTTAAAAGCTGAGGGCATTAACTGTTTGCATCACCTAATGACTCTTAATCTTAATGTTGTTTGTCATTGTTAGGTGCCATCACGTCAGCTCTGACTCATAGTGACCCTATGTACAAAAGAACAAAATTCTGCCCAGTCCTGCACCATCATCACAATCTTTTTTATGCTTCAGCCCATTGTCCCAGCCACTGTGTCAATCCAACTCATTGAGGGTCTTCCCCTTATTCACTGACCCTCTACTTTACCAAGCCAGATATCCTTCTCCAGGGACTGGTCCTTTCTGACAGCGTAACCAAAGTAGATGAGATGAAGTCTGGCTATTCTCCCTTTTAAGGAGCATTCTGACTGTAACTCTTCCAAGACATATTTGTTTGTTCTTCTGGCAATCCATGGTATTTTCATTATCCTTCACCAACACCACAATTCAAATGCATCAATTCTTCTTTAATCTTCCTTATTCATTGTCAGCCTTCATATGCATAAAGCCACTGAAAGTGCCATGACTTGGGTTGAGCACACCTTAGTCTTCAAAGTGACATCTTTGTTCTTCAACACTTTAAAGAAGTCTTTTGCAGCAGATTTGCTCAATGAAATATGTCCTTTGATTTCCTGACTGCTGCTTCCATGGGTGTTGATTGTGGATCCAAGTAAAATGAAATCCCTGACAAGTTCAATCTTTTCTTCATTTATTGTGATGTTCCTTATTGGTCTAGTTGTGAGGATTTTTGTTTCCTTTATATTGAGGTGTACTCCATACAGAAAGCTGCAGTCTTTGAGCTTCATCAGTAAGTGCTTCAAATCTTCGTAACTTTCAGCAAGCAAGTTCATCTGCATATCTCAGCTTATTAATGAGTCTTTCTTCAATACTGAGGCTACATTCTTCTTCATATAGTCGAGTTTCTCAGATTATGTGCTTAACATACAGATTGAATAAGTATAGTGAAAGGATACAACTCTGATGCACTCCCTTCCTGATTTTAAATCATGTAGTATCCCCTTTTTCAATTCAAATGACAGCTTGTTCTATGTACAGGTTCGTGTTCTGGGATTCCTATTTTTCACAATGTTAACTATAATCTGTTATGATCCACATAGTCAAATGCCTTTGCATAGTCAATAAAACACAGGTAAACATCTTTCTGGTATTCTTTGCTTTCAGCCAAGATCCACCTTATATCAGCAATGATATCCCTTATTCCATGCCCTCTTTTGAATCTGGCTTGAACTTCTGGCAGCTTCCTGTCAATATACTGCTCCAACCATTTTTTAATTCTCTTCAGCAAAATTTTTACTTGCATGTAATATTAGTGATATGGTTTTATAATTTCCACATTCTGTTGGATTATCTTTTGTTGGAATGAACACAAATGTGGATCTCTTCCAGTAGGTTGCCCAGGCAGCTGTCTTCCAAATTTCTTGGCATAGACAAGTGAGCACCTTCAGTGCTGCATCTGTTTGTTGAAATATCTCAATGGACATTCGGTCAATTCCTGAAGTCTTTTGCCAATTTCTTCAGTGCAGCTTGGACTTCTTCCTTCAATACCATCACTTCTTGATTATATGCTACCTCTTGAAATGGTTGAATGTCAACCAATTCTTTTTGATTCAGTGACTGTGTAATCCTTCCATCTTCTTTGATGCTTCTTGCATCATTGAGTATTTTACACATACTTCAATATTACAACTCAAGACTTGCATTTTTTCTTCCATTCTTTCAGTTTGAGAAATGCCAAGTGTGTTCTTCCCTTTTGATTTTCTAATTCCAGGACTTTGCACATTTCATTATAACACTTTACTTTGTCTTCTCAAGCCAACCTTTGAAATCTGTTCAGTTCTTTTATTTCATTATTTCTTCCATTCACTTCAGTTACTCTCCATTCAAAAGTAAGTTTCAGAATCTGTTCTGACATCCATTTTAGTCTGTTCTTCCCTTCCTGTCTTTTTAATGGCCTTTTGCTTTCTTCACATTTGATATTCTTGATGTCATCCCACAACTCATCTGGTCTTTGGTCGTTGGTGTTCAGTGAATCAAATCTATTCTTCTGATGGTCTCTAAATTCAGGTGGGACATAATCAAGGACATATTTTAGCTCTTGTAGACTTCTTTTAATTTTCTTCAACTTCCACTTGAACTTGCTTATGATCAATTGATGGTCTGTTCCACAGTCAGCTCCTGGTCTTGTTCTGACTGATAATACTGAGCTTCTCCATCACCCCTTTCCATAGATGTAGTCAATTTTATTGCTGTGTATTTTATCTGGTGAGGTCTATATATATAATCACCATTTATGTTGTTGAAAAAGGTATTTGCAGTGAATAAGTTTTTGGTCTTGCAAAAGTCTATCATGTGGTCTCCAGCATCATTTCTTTCACCAAGGCCATATTTTTCAACTACCAATGCTTCTTCTTTATTTGCGATGTTCACATTCCAATGATCAATACTTATTGATACATCTTGATGCA